GGACCTCTGAGGATTCCCTCCTTCCATTTCTAACACTAGATAACTGCCAGACTCCTACTGGGCTTTGGAAATGGCACCAGATTCAACCCAGAACTCCCTGTTCCAGCTTGGGGATTGGGCAGAGGACATTTCCTACTCATATGAGATAGCACAGGATGCCAAACTTGCCTCCCTACCAGGTCAGGAGGTTCCTTGACAGCAGTCCACTAAGCCCCTTTTGGGGCAAGCCCCCTGACAGCAGTCTGCTAAGCCCTTTTTGGGGTAAGCCCAAAAGGCGCTTAGCAGACTTCTGTGCTCCATCAGAGCAGCCCTGTATCTTCTGAACCCAGAACCCTTCATCAAAGTTTGTTGATGTGGGTCTGCCTGGTCTTTGCATCCCCTTAGCCTGTGCCAGCGCTAGCCAGGGCTAGGCCCACAACCCCTTCACTGCCAAGGTCCTTCTGCTTCCCACAGATGTTGAGCCAGGGGTCAGTCAGGCCTTGTCTATGGGCTTTATTATGACACCTGTCCAGAGAAAGTTCAGGGCGTAGAACTGAGCGAGTGTCAAGCTGGGCTCATTGTCTGCCACTGCCCAAGGCCTGGCATCATAGGTCACAGGTACAGACGATAAAGACCACATTTTTGGGTGGAAAGGAGAGGGACACAGGTTGTTCAGCAGGTGTGGCAGACACTATCATACGCAACCCAGCCCAGATCTCCTGTCAGTGAAGAACATGTTGACCAGCTGGGAAAGTCAGCAGACAGGCTTCCGCGATCGGTCTCTACAGAGATCACTTCAGCTGCAGACAGCCTCGTGCTGGGGTTGTGCTCCTCTAGGGTGGCCCACATCCACTGACAGATTGATGTGGGAATAGAAAGGCCTGGCCATCTTGGCTGGCTTCGGGATGGCTCCCAAGGGCCCTTCTCCGCACCACAACTCCTTGTGGGGTGCCAAGGCTGCCTTTGGGCTGCATAAAAGCTGGATTCCTCCCTCTTTCCAGGCTCAGTTCCTATCCTGCATGACCACTGCTGTGGGTCCCATGCCACTTCTTATTAAACACCCCGCTGGCAAAACTCCGTCTCAGGGGCTGCTCTCAGTCACTGACCTGTGACAGTGGGACATTGTCCCCACCTACTCAGCTAAGCCTCTGTGTCAGCCTGCCAAACCCTATTCCTTTCCAAATTGTCATCCCTACAGGAAACTCTGCCTACCTTAAAGAGCTAGTCTCAAACCCAGCCCAGCTCCTCCGTTGGTCTTGGCGGCGGGGTGGGGGGCGATTTATGGGCTGGCTGGTGAGAGTAGGGTAGCTACTTCCTGCAGGCCACACCCTCCTACGAAACACACACATGGCACCACAACTAAGTCGTATGCTGACGCCCCAGCTGCACTCAGACACCTAGAAGGTGAAGCCATCATGGGGTCCAAAGCAGTGTCTCTAGATCTGAAGTGCATTCCTGCAGCTCGGACTGCAACGGGAGCTTGCTTTATTAGATCCCATTATAAATGGATGATTTGCCATCTCCGAAGATAAATGGGAAACTTAATGCAGAGGTGTCCTGTCTGGGGAAACTGGAGAGTTATGGATGTTAGCTTTGTAGCTTTATGAAAGCACTCTCTTATAGAAACTGAAATGACCAAGATTAGATTGAATTAGTATGTACTGGTATGAGCTTTTTCTCCCCCTATCCATCTTGACTTTTTTTTTTTTTTTTAAAAGGCAGAAGATTTGCCTCCTGGGTGAGCATTTCAGAAAAATACAAATCCTGAGTTTGGGTTTGGTAATTAGCAGAATTGCCTCCTGGTGCTAACGAGGTGGCTGCCCAGCTGGGACTGTCTATGTAGGTGGAGGAAGTGGCACCCTCTGCTGGCTTCCTTTATGGGTGGTGTCTGCTCCCTTCCACCTGGGATCCCCCTTGGCACCAGGTGATCTCTTCACCTGTCCTTGTAGAATACAGATGGATTAGTGAGGCCTCTTGTTCCAGCACCCAGGCTCCTGGCCACCCCATCTGAAGATGGGGATGCTCCATCCCATACAGACCCCACTCTCCAGCAGTGTTCCCTAGGCTGAGCTTGAGACCCAGCTCCTAGCTGGGTGGCGAGGCTTTCTGTGAGCAAACAGCTCCACCTGATATATATGTTAGAGCACTTGTGATACCAAGCACAGGGCTAGGCGCTGGAGGTGTTAAGGTGAGGAGGCTAAGTTCTTGCCCTTCGGGAGACCAATCTAACCGAGGGGAGAAAGGCATATATAGATGATTTCCAAACGGGCACTGCTTGATTGTACTTTCTGTCTTGATGGAAATGTTCTCTATCTTTGCTGTCCAGTGTAGTAGCCATGAGCTTCCCATGATCCCATGAAGATAATAAGAATGGAAGTCGGGAAAGGAATTCTAGGGTTGGTTCTTAAGCCAACCATCCTGGGATCTCAGGCAAATCATATCTGTGATTTGAATCCCAGTTTCATTTTTTCTTGTTAAAACTTGCTCTGCTTCTCTCCAATATTAGAACCAAGAGATCTAATCTTCACTTGGCCCACTTTTCACCTGATGGAGGGAGGAGCGGAGGCCGTAACCTGCCTGATCTGATGGCTGGGGGAGGGCAGAGTCAGGCCCTTAACTCCTCATCCTGGTTTTTTGAACAGAGCAGGCTGCTGCTAGGGGTGCTATGGGGACCAAATATGAAAAGAGAAAGGAAGATCTTTGGAAAGTCAAAGCTAACCAAGCCCCAGAGCTTTTTGACATCATGGTGGCTGGTGAAACCACCCATAGAGCCGTTGAAGGCTCAAGACCATGTGGTGAGGTTGGACACACACTTGAAGCTTAGAGAACTAATGTAGAAGAGGCTTGTCTGTGAGATTTTGCAGTACCCTAGGCCCAACACACAACCCTACAGCTGATGTCTGTCCCAAACTTCAGCATGATAAAAGAATTTTAAGAGTTGGGCTGTAGGAGGAGGAGATAAAACAGTGTATGTGCCATGAGACCTCAAATTTCAGGAGCCCTGAGAAGCTCAGAGCCTCTCAGATACTTTACCGGGGTTGGGGTTCACCTGTTGAATGCCCAGCATCCCCATTAGACAGTGAGTGGGTTATCCCAGCATGGCTTCTGGAGCTGCCTTTGGGTCAAGGAACTTTGCAGAGATGGAGAGTGGGAGGCTCATTTGGAAATAAAAGTGGGGGACTCCTTGCAACGAACTCAACTCCAGGAGGGGTGTCAGCACAGTAATGGAATTCGAATGAAGTATTGAGAGCTGGGTTGGGAGATGAGAGAGGCCAGGAGCAGTAAGTCTCAGGTGGAATCATTTAAACTTTAAAACAGATTCAACAGCTTCCTTTTTCTGATGACAAGTACTGTGTCTATCCTGGGTCCCAGGGTGCTCCCTCACAGAGGTTCGGAGCTCTGTTGAATGCAAGGACCCAGGCTAAGAGGCTCTCTCTGTTCACTAGCCAACTCTAGGCAAGGCCTGGGGCGCTTTTCCTGCAGGCCCCCATCTTTTCCCACACTGTGGCCCACTGGGCCTTGGTGCCTCTGCCAAGGCCTACCAGCCCCAGGGCTGCCTCCATTTCAGGCTGTTCATGCTGGTGCAAGCTACTTCTCCTATAACGGAAGTATTTTTCATACCTTGAGCATGGGGAAGTGAGATCTTTCCTTGGATGAGGGGTGCTTTGTGCCCTTAATGCTGGTTTCTAGGTTACTTCCTGGCTGCAGCAGGAGCAGAGCCGGAAGAACCTTTGGGATGACTTCAACCATCTCCCTCTCTATCCCCATCAACAGAGGAGACATTGAGGTCCCAAAGAAGGAAGTGACTTGCCAAGTTCACACAGCTAGTCAGCAGCAAGGTTGGGATTGAAATTTAGGATATATAACTCATTCAATCCTTCATTCCATACATTTTAAATAAATGCCCAGTATATACCAAGAATTATGCCAGCCAAGAGGAAAATGGAGAGAAGACATGGTCTGCATTCAAGAAGTTTGTCTCGGAGTGCGGGAGATGAACATATCATCCTAGATTTTTACAAGTGGTACAAAGGAAAATATCTGGGTGATGATACAAGAGACAAAAGCAGAGTGGGGGCTTACTCTCTAGAGAGGGTGGTAAGAAAAGGCTCATCTGAATAAGCGATTATATTGAGCTTAGATAAGCAGGACCAGCAGGGGTCAGGTCAAGAGTGTTCCAGGCAGAGGGGGCAGCCTGAACACAGCCCTGCAGGAGGAGAGTTTGGTGTCATGGAAGAAACAACCACCCGCCAACATCAGCGTGGTTGAGTGGGGTGCGAGAGGAGGTGCCAGCCGATAAGGGTGAAGAGTGAGGCAAGGGCAAGGTCATGCAGCAGGCCTCCCTGAGCCAAGTGGAAGAATGCCGATTTTATTCCCATTTCTGCCGTGCCGTCTGAAAGTCGTAGCTGTGTTTAGGCAGCACAGTGTCGGGGAAGGCCAGGAGCAGAACACAGCCTGAAAATGCAGGGACTTAGCATGAGAAGGAGAGGGCTTCTGAAGACAAGGGCCGGACATAGGGTGCATAGAGCTGCATTCAACCAAGGGAGGGGACACTGAGGGGACACAAGCAAAGAAGCCTTGGAGGAAGACCTTTGAGACGGGCACCAAGGCTGTCAGGTGGCAACTGAGAGGGTAGTTTGACCAGAAAGGATTAAGTATATCCAAGGACTGAGGCCAAGAGGCATTGTCCGACCAGCCAGGGCCTTAACAGATCCAGATGGAAGAAGCCAGACTTGGGCCTCAGGCTGGGCCAAGCGTATCCTTGATTAAGCTGAGTGTCTGTGAGTTACTTCCCTGCATGCTGCTGGTGCCCTCAGAAGTCCTGGCTGAGGTTCTAAATAGTGGTGGAGTGCGGGCTATGCTGACACACTCCTCACCTGGGAGATGGGCTGCCGAAGATGCATATGGCAAGGTGGCAGGGGGCAAGCATGTTGCTCCTGTGGATGCAGCAGGTAAGGAAGGTAGAGGAGGAGAATGAGGGGGTGGGGTGGGGGACTTCCTTCAGCTCAGATGAAGCAAGGTCTGCCGTTCTTCTCTGGGCTGTCTTCTCTGGCCCTGGCTATGGAGGTCTGAAGCTAAAGGATCAGCCTGCTTCCTGCTCCAGGTAAGTGTGACTAGCATGGCCCTGGAGACAGCCCCCGACCCTGGTTTTTCTCCTCTGGTGACCATCAAAGCTGACATCACAATTTGATTAACACAGTGACCTTTCATAGGGCCATTACCATGAACAAGATAAGGCATGCCAAGCACTTAGCACAGTGCCAGAGACCCTGGATGCCCAGTTTAGCTACTGTTAGATTTACTATTTACTGGGTCAGATCTCTTCCATTAATGCTATTTAGCCCCACTCCTTTGCCCTGGGGTGAGCTACTTGACCTTCTCACATGACCTGATGTCCTCCTATCTTTTGAGAACAGACAATATAGTATAGGACCTTTGGTTCTCTGCTTGGTGCTGGCCCAGAGTGACCTCATCTAAGTCACTTCTGCTCCCCAAGTCTGTTTGGTCATCTGTCAATTGACGTACTTGTTCTAAACCAGAGCTCCCCACTAGATTGCTGTGCCACATTGCTGAGTCACAACTAAGTTACCTGTGTGTTGAGGGGGCAAATCCCTCAGCCCTTGAGATGCCTGGGTGGGTCAGGATAGCCCCTGGCAAGGTCTCCTCTAACTGCGAGTAGCCTGTGCTATTGACTCCAGCATGCAGAGCAAATATTGCCATTTTATCTGTGTGCTATAATGTAAAAAAGGAAAAGTTGACAAGCCCTAGAAATCATTCTTGATATGCTAATACTCTGAATCATCTCCTAGCTTCAAAACTTGCCTATTCCAAGAAGTCTGCCCGCCCCCACAGCATCATTCAATGATATTTCTTCATCAGGGTCTTCTCAGCAGTTATGAGCTGCATTCGCCTGGAATGAATGAATTAATTTGTACTTCTTAATATGTGACCTGTGGGCTGTTTCCTGTAACAACAATGGCAGTGACAACAACTCCTCTCACTTATTGAGCACGTGGGTAGCAGACAGCTCACAAAGTGCTTTGCTATTTGCTTCCACAATAGTGTGTGAGGGATGCGTGCACTGTTGTGTATGCACACACGGAAAGCCTGAGACTTAGATAGCTGGAAACAATTGCCCAAATAGGAAGTGGCTGAGTGATGACTTGGATGTGAGTCTGCCTGGCCTGACGTAGTCCGTGCTCTTAAGCAGTTAAGTAGTATGTCTTGTGTGTGTGTGTGTGTGTGTGTGTGTCCTTCTCCCAGTTAAACTATTGATCTCCCAAAAGAGATAGTGTTTTCTGCATTCTTTCCATCTCCCCAGAGCTCAAAATGATAATAGTACGAGCTCAGTGATTACTGTTGGGCATGTTAGACACTTTGTTGTAAGTTAAAAGTGAAGTATGGAATAGCCTTCCCTGGGTCACAGACAGAAGGCACAACTGACCGCTAGTGTTGCCTGGGTGTAGGTGGGTGTGTGAAGTCTTATTGGGACCGTGGCACAGAGGAGCCTCCCAGCCCCGCCTGCCCCAGGTGGCTTGACTGCTGTTTCAGGGTAAAACGGACTTCACTAAGGGAAGTTCAGAACTGGAGAATTCATAAAGTGTGTCCCTCAAGCCAGGTACCCAGCACATGAGACTTGGTCCCCGGCTTCCCACAGCTTCTCGTACAGTCATGTCTTCTCTCTCTTTGAGAGGGGCAAGTAAGAGCCAGTGATTGTCATCTAGGATTAGTGAGTCTTGGTAGCCTGGAGTGGGGATCACATAGCCAAGCAGTGCTCACTTGTGACCCTGGCCTCCAGTCTACAGCCCCTGTCTCCTCTCCCATCAGTGGGATTACGTGCTCAACCCTTCTTCCTTCCCTCCTTCCTTGGGTTTAATGTCCTCACCTGGCCTTCCCACTGCTTGGCTTCTAGTTGGGTCCTATAAAGGACCTCGGACTCTTGGTTAGTTGTCTTTGAGTGGCTCTAGGAAGCCCCCATCCCACTCTTCTTTCTCCTGAACAACCAAACCACACACATATGTGTGATGTGGTTAAGAATCAGACAGTCCTGCATTTGACTCTCTGCTCTAACTCTGATTAGTATGTAACTTTGGATAAGTTCATCAATATTCGCTTAGGAAATATTTACTGAGTACCTACTATGTGCCACATACTATTCCAGGTACTGGACATGTGGTGATACAGTGTGGAGTATAAAACAGGCAGGTGCATGCTTGTGAAGGTGGTCAGGTAAGGTCTCCTTGAGTTGAAGTCTGAATGATGATAAAGAGGTAATATGGAGGAAGAACATTCTATTGAGACAGAGGAAACAACCAGTGCAAAGGCCCTGAGGCACAAAAAGGACTGACACATTCAATAGATTTACAGGGTGTTGCCTTACTGGAGAATGAATTGCAGATCATCAAGAGTGGCAGTAAGGAGACCAGTGAGAAGTCTACTGTAAAGGTCCAGGTGAGCACTGATGAAGGCTGAGTATATTATATCTTCTCTCTGAAACTTACCTGCCCTATTCAAAAAATGAACATAACAAGAGTACCTACCTTACAGGGTGGCCATGGAGAGTAAATGAGTCAGTATTTGGCATGCAGTAAATGGTAACTATTAGCATTAATAAAAAGGGTAGTAATCATAAGTGTGGGCTCAGCTCTATGAGGCTTCACAGGAGAACTGAGCCTCCAGTGAAGCTGTGACTTTTCCATTCAGCAAGTCAGGGGTGCTTCCAGGGAGTCAGAGATCAGATGCCAGCTGCCCCTTCTGTCACCCATCCCAGGTTCTTAGAAAATGGCATCACTGGATGCTCAGTGGGGACTGAGGCAGCCACTGCTCAGGGAGGAGGAACAGGTGGCCTTGGGAGGGAGGGCAGCATCTTCTCCGTGTTATGGAAGCTGGCAGGCTGAGGAGTGGGGAAGCCCAAGCAAACCATGCTCCCTGTGTTCCTGAGCCAGACCTGGGAGAAATTCTCACCTCATCCAGGGAGGCTTTGAGTTGAGAAGAAAGAATTGAGCCAGGAGGGGAGGCAAGTCAGGGTATAGAAGGCAAGGAGGCAGGCACTCCTTTTTGACTTTCCATAACCCAGGGCAGGGATGTGGGGTAAATAGAGGAAGAGAGAGGGAAGGGGTGAGGGGAATCACTTCCCATCTTTGTGATGAGTAGATGAGATGAAAGAAGCTGAAGCTACCAAGAAGGATTTGGTTAGATGCCCACAACTGTACAGAGACAGCAGTTGGACCCTACAGCACATTTCTGCTCGAATAAGCAGGATCTTCTCTACTGCAGAAATCCTTCTCTTCCAACTGGTATTGGGGGCAAGCCTGCTGAGAGGCTAAGAGGGCTCTGGTGACCTCTAGCTCCCGCCCCCACCTGACTGTCCTAGTTGTCTGCAATGGTGGCAAAGGGAAATTTTATGAGCTCTTCAGTCCTCAGGTCTCATGGGCTTTTGCCTTGCTCCAGACCATCTCTGATACACACATATATCTTGAAAAGGAAAAGAAAGAGAGAGAAAAGCTATTTTATTTCATTGCCAAACCATCCACTTTAAATACCCTTTTTATTACAGTATCTGCATAGTAATCCTAATAATAGATCTTGTTGGCAGCTCTAATGAGGCTGGAGAATATAAGGTTTCCAATAAAGTTAATTGTTGCCTTTAATATTCTCATACATTTATACATGGTAAATCTTTAAAGGAGAAAAAACACTCCATTTCATCCCTTAAGCAGCCGGTCCTAGACTGGATTGAGACCAACTACAGTAGAGACGTGGGCTGGGAGCTTGACTGTCGGAAAACTTGGATTATGATCTCCAGACTTCCTCCTACCAAGAAGAGCATGAGTTTTGAGTCGGAGAGCTCTGGGTTTCCAGGTTGGCTTTGTCACTTCCTGACTTTGTAGCTAGGGCCCATCACTTAACCTCTGTTTTTCAGTCTCTGAGATGGGATTTATGATAAATGTATACAAAGCTCAGTTTAGTGCTGGCATATATGCGGTGTTCCATGCATGTCAACTATTATCATTATTTTAAGCTACTAAATACAGTTATTATTTTATCCACTTGCTATGTGCATCATTAATTGTGAAGTAAATCAGGGTACTGCAGTCATTGTATTTGAACTTCAGAGCTAACTAAAAGCTCTTTCTGTTAATCAGTTTCTCTTTTTTTTTTCCCCCTGTTAATCAGTTTCTTAAGATTGTATAGCAGTAAGCGATTGATCAGGGTTAGAAGCCAGAATTCTTGATCTCCAGCGACTTTCAGTAACCAGCAGTTAGAAGGCAGCCCGGATCTCCAAACCCTACCTCTCCACAAGCCTAGCGCATACATGACTAATTTTACCTTCTGCCCACCTTTAATCAGACCCTTATCTGTTCCCTGGGGCCTGGACATATTGTGATTAAAATTCGGGGATGAAGGAGGGCTACTTGCCCCGTCTTGCGACTGACACTCTTGATTCCTGTCCCTCCTCTCCCGGTGGTCATACATTTTCTTTGTTTTTACTTTTAGTTGGAGAAAATTTTGTGATTTTTACAGTGACAGAGCAAAGAAGAATATATGTTTCACCATTTATTGTATTACCAATGTCATGTATTTTTAACAGTTCCATCACATTTCTGACATTTACAATGGTTTTTTTCCCCAGGGGGTGAGTAGAAGGAGCTGTTTTCCCATGCCCCACCCACATGATCCTGGAAATGGAGAGGAACCCAAGATGCTCTGGGTTAGGGACAGGCCTGTGTGACCTTGTGTTTTAACAAATGGATCACAAACAATCCAACCCCCACCTCTCCAGCTTTCCTCACCCAGTCGGAGTTCTCCGCTCCACATCAACGCCTCTCCCGCTGGCAAGTGGTAAGAAATACTATGTGACAGGATGGTTGCCATGGCAACCCTCATTTCCAGTTAAACAACCGGGCACTGATGAAAGAAGTCTCGTTTGCTTTGGTTACAGGGTTTGCTGGGAAGGGTGTGGAGTGCGTTTCTTCCTCTCGTTTTTCCCTTTCTTACTCCTCACTTTCCTGTCTCGTTTTCAGGGATGAGATAGAGGCATTGAAGGGCCAGGCGCTGCCCAGGCCCTAGAGAATGGGGAGTGTCGCTTCAGGCTGGACCAGAGGCAGCAGGGCTGGGTGCCTGGGGGCTGGTTGCTTAGTGGAGGTCGTGCTTCCTGGCCTCGCAGCCACAGTTTTCCTCCCAGCTCCGCCTGCCTCAGGTCCCCGGTTTCCCTGCCCTTCCAAAGAAAGGACCTGTTGGGGGAAGAAATGGGCTGGCGGAGGACCCTGTGTCCCAACAGGTGGTTGGGTAATTAAGTGAGCTTTATGCACACAACACTGTTTTGCCCGATGTAATTGCAGTTTCCATATAAATAATTCACGGGAAATTATTAGAGTGAGGACATCGCCCGCCTCCTCATAATTTGCTTAACCGAAATAGGCTCTTTCATCATCTGCGTTGATTTGCCTTAAGACCATGCACTCAGCATCCTTCATAGGCCTGCTTCTCCGAAAACGAGAATGCAGAATTTAATTAAGTTAAATTAATTTGCATTAATTGGGCATCCCCTGCCTGGGGAGAGGCAGGGTGTTTGCCCACATGGCTGTGGGGTGGTGCAGGGAAGAAGGGAGAGGCATGGTGTGCCCCAGGTGCCCAAATAGTGGGCAGTTGTTTAGGAAGGAAGCCCCCCACCCCAAAAAATCACAGCACCCCAATGGAGAGTTTAAGAGCTGTACTCCTTGAAAGGAGTAGAGCAGTCAGAGCTGGAACTCTGGGTTATTCGTTGTGTAACTTTGGGCAAATAACTTAACCTCACTAAACCTCAGCTTCCTTCTCTGTAAAATAAGGCTCATAAAGGCACCCTTCTCCTGGGGCTGAGGTGAGGGATATGTGAGAGGGTCTCATTAATATGGTTCTGGCCACAGGGCTTCATAAGCACTTTCTATTAGTTATTATTATTACTGTTACTGTTGTTATGATTGTTCTCATTAAATACATGAGGATCTCAGCTGTGGCTTCCATTGCTCTTGATGGGAATATCTGCCGGAGTCTATCCAGGCCTTCTGCCACAGGGAGGTTTAAGTTTTGACATTCTCCCTAGATTATCCCATGATTTTTGGAGGAATTTGTCAAGTTAGAGGGAAAAACCATGCATTTTGGAGCCAGACAGATCAAGATTGAAATCCCAGTTCTCCTACTTGCATACCGTGTGGTCTTGGGCAAGTTATTTTACCTTCATGAGCCTTAATGGCCTCATGGATAAGATGGGGCTGGTGTTCTTGCTTCTCTTGGAGTTTGTGAGGATTAGAAAGAATGTCTGCAAAGCACCAGGCACATGCCTGCCACATAGTTTATGCTCAACAAATGGTCAAATAAATCTGAATCTAGGCAGGGCCTGCCTTAGCCTCCTCACTCTCTATCCTTCCTTTTTCCGGGATCCTTCCTCCATGTCCCTCCCGGCATTCTTTCTCTGGTACTTTTCTTTTAAAGGATCAAAGGGCTCAATAAATACCTACCCTGCGGTATAAGTGACTGATGAGCTTAAAATCTCTATTCCTCCTCAAGGGATTGTCATTTTCTCAAGGGAATAAAATACCTAAGTTTTCTTAAACTAAAAGTTTGGTGCTTTAATGGGGGCATTCTGTAAGCCTGTCATAAAACAGAGGGGTGCTTCCAAAATCTCTACTGGAAAGTGATAGGTTCCTCATGAGGGAAGCCCTGAGTCTGGGAACCTGCCTTGATGGCTAGTGCCTCTCATGGATTCCCTCTTTTGCTGGGATTTAAGATTTGTTACACAGATAGTTGCTTAATTCATTTAACAAATATTTACTGAGCACCTACTGTGTGCCAGGCATTGTGCAAATCACTGAATTTACAGCAGTAAGCAAAACAGTCATAGTTCCTACCCCAATGGAACTTCAAAGCCAGTGGGAGTGATAGTTATGAAACAATTGTTAGCATTTCTGAATATAAATATAATTACACATTCTATAAGAGTATAAAGAAAATGAACAGGAGGCAATAACAATGAATAGAAAGGTGACTGAATTCTAATGGCAGGTGGGTGGGTAACAGAAGTATCTCTGCAAGAGAGGGAAGAAGAGGACTGAGCTAGGAGAATAGTGAGAGGAAGGGCATTACTGGAAGAGGGAAGTGTGTGTTCAAAGGCTCAGAGGCAGGTGAAAGGCTGGTGCCTTTGAGGGACTGGAAGAAGACAAGCAGCTGAAGTGACTAAAGGGACAGGAGGTGTTTGGTGAAGCCAGGTGCAGTGGCTCACACCTGTAATCCTAGCATTTTGGGAGGCCAAGGGGGGTGGATTACTTGAGCTCAGGAGTTTAAGACTAGTCTGGCCAACATGGTGAAACCCCATCTCTTCTAAAGATACAAAAATTAGCCTGGCGTGGTGACACGTGCCTGTAATCCCAGCTACTAGGAGGCTGAGGCAGGAGAATTGCTTGAACCTGGGAGATGAAGGTTATAGTAAGCTGAGATCACACCATTGCACTCCAGCGTGGGCGACAAGAGGAAAACTTTGTCTCAACAAAATAAATAAAGTGTTTGGTGAAGTAGGCAGAGGTCAGGAGTGGGAGGTCTTAGGACAATAGGGAAATGCAGACCCCAGGGCCCCAATCACATCTGCAGATCAAGCTGGAAGCCCTTCAATATCTAGGTCGTAAGTCCCAAAGAAGCCCCTTGACTCATCTTAGAGGAAGAAAAAAGCAGACTGCCAGCAGGAAGAATTAGGGAGAATTTTGGACTCGGTGTCAGAAAAGCCAGTTTGGTTCTGGCTCTGCTAATTGTTCCTTATGAAATTAACTGTTCTGAGCCTTAATGGCCTCACTGGTAATGGGGTGCACTCTATATTTCTCATTGACCCCTCCTGAGCCACTTTTGAGTCTTCTTTGACCTGCTTTGGGCCCCGGGAGGCTGATTTGTATGAACTGCCTCAATGGGCTTACTTTCCCTCTGTCTTGGCTAATGTGAAGTACCAGTACAGAAACTGGGGCAGAAGAAGAGTAAGGTTAAGATACGGACTTCCCTTGCTTTCATGCTACTGGGCAGTGGATTGTCTGCATCTCTCTGTAAAAGGCCACTACCCCAGTTTCACGTTCATCTCCTGCAGATACTGAGCCCAGGTGCTGGTGGCTGCTTCCCGCCAGGTCCTAGCCTCGGAGTGGCAGTATCTCCTTTATATTGTTAATCCCACAGTGCTGCACTATCCTTTGTCACTTCCTCTTAGCCCTGCCCACATCTTCAACAAGAGTCACCACAGTGAGCATGATGGATTATTTTCTATGCCAACTTGCTTGGGCCACAGGGTGCCCAGACATTTGGTCAAATATTATTCTGGTGTGTCTCTGAGAGTGTTTCTGGGTGAAATTAACATTTGAATCAGTGGACTAGTAAAGAAGGCTGCCCTCCTTAATGTGGGTGGGCCTCATCCAATAAGTTGGAGATCTGAATAAAACAGAAAAATTGAGTAAGAGGCTACTTCTGCCTGAATGCCTGGAGCTGGAACAAGCCCTTTGCCCTTTGACTGGAACTTAACACCATCAACTCGTTTGGGTCTCTAGCTTGCCAGCTGCAGATACTGGGACTTGTCAGCCTCCATAATTGCATGTACTGATCCTTTAATAAACATCTCTCTCTCTCTGTCTCTCTCTTTATATATATGTATGTGTATGTGTGTGTGTGTCTATAGTCATGTGTCACTTAACAACGGAGTTACCTTTTGAGAAATGTGTTGTTAGGCGATTTCGTCATTGTGGATATATCATAGGGTGTATGTACACAAACCTAGGTTGTATAGCCAATTATATACCTAGGCTATATGGTATGCTCTGTTGCTCCTAGTCTACAAACTTTTACAACATGTTACTGTACTGAGTACTGCAGGTAGGTGTAACACAATGCTCATTATTTGTGTATCTAAACATAGAAAATGTACAGTGAAAGTAGAGTATAAAATATCCATTATAATCTTATGGAATCACTCTCGTATATGTAGTCAATTGTTGACTGAAACATTATTATGCAACATATGACTATATATATGTAGTCATATATAGAGAGTTATATATATAGTCATATATATATAGTTATATCTATATCTATATTTGCAATAGGTTCTGTTTCTTTGACCAATACTGTGTTTGACAAACATTTGCTGACTATTGCATATGACTTTATCATCTCTCAGGTCCCTGCCAGCTCTCACACATCAATTTAAGAAACAGGCTGTGGAAGTGAGCAGAGTAGCAGGTAGGAGGAACAGGGAAGCTGTGGCTTTTCTGGGGCTGGCCCAAGTCCCAATATCCCCTCAACTTCACTCTTTCTCTTCCTTCACCATCCCCAGGCTGTGACTGGGAAGGTAGAATATGAGAAGGGAAGAGACGAAACAATCTTCCCTGTTGCTCCTTTATCTCTTCATGGATGCCTTTACCTTTTATTTTTAAGTTTTATTAAAATATAATTGACATACAATATTCTGAACATATTTAAACTATACCATTTGATGAGTTTTGACATACATATATTTGAGATAATGAACATATCCATCATTTCCAAAAGTTTCTTTGTGCCCCTTTGAAATCCCTCTCTCCTGCACCCCCCACCCCCAATCCCTAGGCAACCACTAATCTGCTTTCTGTCACTATAGATTCATTTGCATTTCCTACAATTATATAAATGGAAGCTACAATATGCACACATTTTGTCTGCCTTCTTTCACTCAGCATAATTATTTTGAGATCCATCTGTGTTGTAGTATATATCAATAGTTCATTTCTGATAGTATTTCATTATATGAATATACCACAGCTTGCCTCTTCTCCAATTGATGGACATTTGGGATGTTTTCACTTTTTTGGCTGTTACAAATAATGCTTCTGTGAGCATTTGCGTAGAAGATTTGGCATTGGTATACACTTACACTTCTCTTGGGTAAATACCTAAGAGGAGAATGACTGGATCATATAGTAGGTGGTTGTTTAAATTTTTGAGAAACTGCCATGCTGCTTTCAAAATTAGTTGTGCCACTTTACATTCTCTCAGCAGTGTATGAGAATTCCAATTGCTTCACATTTTTGGCATTACTTGGTATGTTCAGGCCTCTTAATTTTAGCCATTTTAATAGGAGTACAGGGGTATCTCATTGTGGCTTTAATTTGCATTTCGCTAACAAGTAATAATGTTGTTTTTCTTTTCATATGTTTCTTTGCTTTCTGTATATTTTCTTTGGTGAAGGCAAATCTTGTGTCTATTTCTAAATAACACTGTTTATGTTCTTATTATTTATTTTTGAAGGTTATTTATATATTATAGATAAACATCTTTCACCAAATACATGGTTTGAAAATATTTTCTCTCAGTCTGTGGCTTGTCTTTTATTCTCTTAACAGCTTGTCTTTTTATTCTCTTAACAGTGTCTTTGAAAAGCAATTTTGAATTTTGCTGAAGTTCAATTTACAAGTTCTTTTTTTATGCAGTTATGTCTAAGACGCCTTTACTTAATCCAAGGTCATAAAGCTTTTGTCTTATGCCTTCTTCTAGAAGTGTTAAAGTTTTAGGTTTTATATTTAGGTCTATTACCCTTTTGAGTTGATGTTTGTATGTGGTGCACAGAATGGATCAACAATATATAGTTTTACATGTGAATATCCAATTGTTCTAATACCATTAGTTGAAAAGATTTAAACGTCTTACCTTTACTTGCTTTTATAAACTTGTCAAAACTCAGCTATATATATATGAAGATATATGTTCGTGTCTATTTCTGGCCTCTATTCTGCTACATCAATGTTTACACCAATACCTCACTATTCTAATACTACAATTTTATAACTCATAAAAACAGATAATGCTAATCCTCCAAACGTGCTCTTTTTTTTTTCTTTTTGAAAGCTGTGTTGTCTATTTCAGGTTCTTTGAATTTCTAGAAATATTTTAGAATTAGTTTAAAACTTTCTACTAAAAAGCATGGTGAGATGTTAAATGGGATGGCATTGAATCTATTGATGAATTTGGAGGGTACTGACATTTTACTTTTAACAATATTCAGGCTTCCAATTCATGAACATAGTATATACATTTCCATTTATTTGGGTGTTTAAAAATTTCTTTAAGTACTATTTTAGGGTCTTTGGTGTACATATCTTTCACAACTTTTGCAGATCTTTCCCTAAATATTTTATATTTTCTGATGTTCTTGTAAATAATATTGTTTTCTCAATTTATTTTTTGATTGTTTATTATTACTATATCATTAGTATATTAAAATTGAATTTTTTTATATTTATCTTGTGTCTTTCAACCTTGATAAACTCATTTGTTAGTTCTAGTGGCTTTTCATAGATTTCACTGGATTTTCTACATAAACAGTCATGCTGGGTGTACATGAAGACAGTTTTACTCCTTTTTCAATCTTGATTCCTTTTCATTTATTTATTTTTCCTATTTTTTATTACACTGGCTAGAACCTTCAGCACAGTGTTGAATGGAAGAGAACATCCTTGTGCTGTTGTTTTTGGTCTTGGTGATGTGTCATGTGAGAATGCATTAATATTTTTTATAGATGCCTTTTATCAGGTTGAGAAAGTTTCTTCTATTATTTTGCTGTGAATTTTTGTCCTAAGTGAATGCTGGATTTTGTTGAATTCTTTATTTGTGTCTATATAGAGCATATGGCTTTTCTTCAAAATGTGTTTCTGTGGTGAATTACCCTGATAAATTTTAGACATTAAATCAACCTTGAATTCCTGGATTAAATTCCACCTAGTCTTAATTATTACCTTTAAAAAAATATATATTTTATTGCACTTTAGGCTCTAGGGTACATGTGCAGAACATGCAGGATTGTTGCATAGGTAAATACATGGCAATGTGGTTTGCTGCCTCCATCCCCATCACCTATATCTGGCATTTATCCCCATGTTATCCCTCCCTAACTCCCTACCCGCTGCTGTCCCTACCCTAGTCCTCCCCAACAGACCCCAGTGTGTGATGCTACCCTCCCTGTGTCCATGTGTTCTCACTGTTCAACACCCACCTGTAAGTGAGAACATGTGGTGTTTGATTTTCTGTTCTTGTATCAGTTTGCTGAGAATGATGGTTTCCAGATACATCCATGTCCCTACAAAGGACACGAACTCCTCGTTTTTTATGGCTGCATATTGTTGAATTCAACTTTCCAAAAATTTGTTTAATCTGTGATATTAATCTGAAGCTTTCTTTTCTTGTAATATCTTTGTCTGATTTTGGTAACTCGGTAACATTGACTTTATAGAATGAGTTGGGAAGTATATCCTCCTCTTCAGTGACCTAGAAGATGGTATGAAATTTGTATATTTTTCTTTAACTATTTGGTAGAAGTCACCAATGAATCTATCTGCTGCTAAATTTTTATTTGTCAGAAGATTCTAACTACACATTCAATTTTTAAAATAGATTGAAATTCAGGTTATCTATTTCTTCTTTAGAGAGGGTTGGTAATAAGAATTTTTTAGTTTATCTATTTTATCTAAATTCTTAAATTTATTGACATTTATTGGCAAATAGTTGTTTATAATATGCCTTTATTACTGTGTAACCAGTGTGGAATTTGTGCAGTTGCAATGTCTCTCATTATTTATATTGTTAATCTGTCTTATCTCTATTTTTATTAAGCAACCTGGTTAAATATTTATCAATTTTTACTGATATTCTTAAATAAGCAAATCTTGGTTTTATTGATTCTCTCTGTCATTTTTCTGTTTTCTATTTTATTGATTTCTGATTTTTATTAATAGTTTTTTTTTCTACTGCTTACTTTGGATTGAATTTATTCTTTGTTTTTAAGTTTCTTAAGGTGAAAGCTAAGTTCTCTGATTTGATACTTTAATTTTTCCTTCTTTCTTAATGTGGGCATTTAGTACTATAAATATTATACCTTCTCCCTCCACCACCACCAAGTATTTCTTTAACGGCTTCCCACAGTTTTGGTTAGATTGTGTTTTGCTTTTATTCAGTTCAAAGTATTTTCTAATTTCCTTTTTGAGTTACCTGTAACTCACAGGTTATCTAGAAGTGTGTTATTTAGTTTAAAAATATTTGGGGAACGTTCTGGAGATATTTCTGTTATTAATTTTTAGTATAATCCAATTAAATTGAGAAAATGTATTTTGCATGACTTGAGCTTTTTATATGTATTGATACTTGTTTATGGTACAGAATATGTTTTATCCTATGAAACAATCTTGCACTTGAAAAAAAGTGCATTCTGCTATTGTTGGGTAGAATGTTCTATAGTGTCAATTGGGTCAATTTGTTTGATAATGCTTCTCAAATATTCTATACATTTTGTGATTTTTCTGTCTACTTTTTCTATCAAGTACTGAGAAAGAAATATTTGAATATTGGACTATAATTATGGATTTTCCTAGTACTCCTAGTGGTTTTATCAGTTTTTGCTTTATGTCATTTGGCAGTTTGTTATTAGGTACATAAACATTTAGGATTATTGGGTTATCTTAATGAATTGACCTCCTTTTCATTATGAGATAAACTTACAGGAAAATAGTCCTGGTAATTTTTTTTTGCACTAAAATCTACTTTGTCTAATATAATATAATCACTCTAGCTTACTTTCTTTATCACAGCTTCATTGACACATGTTGTACAGCCTAAATTCACACACTTCAAGTGTACAATTCAATATTTAATGTATCTACAGAGTTGTACAGCCATCACCATTATCTAATATTAGAACATTTTCATTATTGCCCAAAGACATTCACCTCTATTCACTTCTCTTCCCACCCTCAGTTTTAGTCAGTCATTTTCAATTTATATTAATTTGCCTATTATGGACATTTCATATAAATAGAATCATACAAAATATGGTCTTTGTATTTGGGGCTTTAAATATTATTTTTAATTAAAATTTTTATTTTAACATAATTGTAGATTTACATATATTTGTAAGAAATAATATAGACAGATCACAGGTACCCTTTAACCAGTTTCCCCCAATGATAGCATCTTACAAAGCATTAGTACACTATCACAATCAGGCTGTGTACATTGATACAATCAACATACAGAAATTTTCATCACCACAAGGATTCCTTCATGCAGTGAAGGATCCTTTTGTAACAATGTCCATTCCTATCCCCACCTTTCCTTAATCTTTGGCAACCACAAATCTCTACTCCATTTCAATAATTCTGTCACTTCAAGAATATTATATAAACGAAATTATGCAGTGTGTAACATTTTAGGATTAGAATTTTTTCACTCACTGTAATTCTTTGGAGACACATGCAGGTTTTTGCATGTAGGAATAGTATTGTTTTTTGTTAAATTCCAGATTAATATTCTATGATATGAATATGCAACAGTTTAACCATATATCCATTGGAGGACATCTTGGTTCATTCTGATTTTGGGCTATTATGAATAAGGTTGCTATACACATTCATGTATAGGTTTTTGTGTGAGTATAAGTCTTTATCTCTCTGGGATAAATACTCAGAAGGTCCACTTGCTGGGTTGTATGGTAATTGCAAGTTGGTTTTTCAAAACACTGCTAAACAGCTTTCCTGAGTGTTGGTACCTTTTTGCATACCCACCAGTAATGTACAAGTGGTCTGGCATTTCTACATTCTCATCAGCATTTATGTTGTATTAGTCCATTTGCATTACTGTAAAGGAATACCAAAGATTGGGTAATTTATAAAGAAAAGAGGTTTAATTGGCTCTCGGTTCTGCAGTCTGTACAGGAAGTGTGATA